GAGGGCGACTGTGATGAATCATGTCAGATATCATTTAATCAGGAAGTTTAGATCATGAAACCACTTACGGAGTGACACTTGGCAACTAGGATTTCATGGGCCTCTGATGTTTGCTTCAAGTCCAGGAGAGGTATTTTAACAGTTCCCTTCAGCCAAGTCATGGCATTTAAAAATTACAGGAACCTTGAGCTGTGCTCAGCTGACTTTCAAGTACCCACACATAGAATCAATCACTAGAGATTTCTTGCTTGGTGCCCTTTCTGACACTTTAGATAGGGCCAGAGATGCGGATATGATCCAAACAGATACTTGCAATGCAAACCAAGAGGTGCATTTATGTTGTGCTTTTTGCCAAGAAACTCCAATTGGGAAGAGGTAACATGTTTTTTTCCCTCTACAAACCACTTAAACAGATATATATTTGCTTTTTGCTGTGCAAAAACGGTGTATTTTGCGCTACAAATATACATCTCTCTGTGACCTCCGTGTCACTCTATATACAGCAATGGGATTCACAGATTCTTTAGTTATAAAAGTGCAATTTTGTAGCAACTTTGCAACATGAGCCATTCTCTGCGATTTCCGTATTAGGATGCTTTGAAAGTAGCAAGAGAAACACATTTGTATGGTGGTTCCCTCCCTGCCCCCCTTCCTCCTTGCCCCCACCCAAAAAAGCATGAGGCCTTCTGTATACTGAGTGTTTTTGAGCAGGAGCAAGTTGGTGGTCTTACTTAAAAAGAAAGTTAAAACAAAAACCCCATATATATTGTCAGAGCTGCTCTAGTTTATACAGCTAGGCACAGTTCCTTTATCATCCTCACCATCTAATACTGAGACAACACAGAGTCATTTTTATTTCATTTTTAAGCATCCAGTTAGGTGACTTAACAGTGATACACCAGGAAGGTAAACTACTGGTATTAAGAGAATAATGTGTTTTCCGGATCAGATTTATTGAGCAAAATTAGAAAGGGATTCACCTAAATTAAGCTATCCTATCCTTTACATTGTTTCAATCAATATTGATGAACAGCAGAGGAAAGCTGTCTTAAGTACTGTTTCTCAAATATAATTAAATGAGGGCATAATGTTTTGCAGTGGAAGAGATGATGCATTAGCTTAATTTAAATTGGGGAAAACAGAAGACAAAGGTTTAGCTGTGCGCTGAGATGCATTGAATTAGATGTTCGGAGGATTAAGCCAAAAGTTTTTCTTTCACTTTACAGTTTCCCCAAATTCTTATATTTACTGTTGTACAGAGATTGCAGAAACCAAGGGATCTTAAGTTATTTTTTGTGAGATGAGACTAGACAATTTAGGCTTTGTAGTCTAACTAATCACATACAAAGAATCCCACAACTGCTGTAACTAATTAGGAAATGGGTATTCTGTTATACAAAGGTTCAAAACATTCAGAGTTGCTTACATTATAAACAGTGAATGGTGATCAGGCCAGTCAGTCCACTCTGAGAGTATCTAGACCTTCAGCAACCTCCTGAATGAAGGATATTCACTTCAGAAATGTAACAATATATTGGAGTGACTTCTTTGTCAGAGGTGCAAGGGAGACATTTTTATGCAAGAACAGAAGAACCTTGGGGGTACGTACAGATGGTACGTTTAGATTGACTGAACTAGGGTTAAATTGATCTAAATGCCCATATCTGAATGCACTTTGGGGATTTAAATTGGGTAAAAAATGGCAGGTCCAATCTAAGTTCCCCTAAGAAGGTGAACTCATTTTAGTGAGGGACAAGTTAACATGCTCTGTTGAACAATTGCATGTATTTGGAGTGCAGCCCAGGGCTGAGAAACCCAGCTGCTCTCCCCAGACCTGGGGCTGTGCTATTCCTATGCTCCAGCTCCCCCCTTCATCAGGCTATTTTTTAGACCCCTAACCCTTTCATCCTCAGACAGACAACCCCTATTGCAGACCTGCTAACTCTGCCCCACAGACCCACTAGCCCCCCTGATTCTCCCACTCCCTCCCCTCCACAGATCTGCTATTCCCCCCTAATCCCTTCCTAAGTTACTTACACTTGGTTTCCAACCCAGCTCCCAACACTACTGAATTAGTTGTATATGCCACTCCTGGTCTACAGTCATGCAACTTAAAGTAAGCTGTGTGATCATAGACCAGGTTCAGTAAACATTTGTACGTACTTTTGCTTATTACTTAGTTACTCCAACATCCCCTGTGGCTTCCCTTCCATTTAAAGTAAGAATGTAAAGGCTGATACTATAGTAAGTTATCATGCAGTCTAAAGCTTGTCCCTGGAGAACAGGTGGGAAAACGTATGTAGATGTCAAGTAGAATCTTATGCTGTACACTGTGACGACACTGAGTACCAACAGCACAAATAACATCTGGCTTTGGATTTCTGCGTCCTTGGGAATACTGGAGAAAGGCAACTTCATGTAGGTCTAAATGTAACATCTGTGTGTCAGCTTTGTGTTTTTCACTGTAATGATGCTTCCTACAATAGAAAATACATTTTGATCACCTTCTTTTAATCTGCAATCTTTACACAAGAACAAAGTCTAAGTGGTAACATACAGTGCTGCCAGGAATCCTACTGTGTGAAAGTATTAAATGTATGGACTTTAAGGTTATGATCTGCTCTGTAATGCCCTTTTATTTCAGTGGGACTCATCTGCCCTGTTGTCAGAAACTTATATATAATTTAAAGTAAACATTTTTCTACTGACATCTCTAACACTGGATGACCTAGATCCCTTGTTCTGGGCAGACCCAAGCCCTTACACTGACCACGACTTCTTCATTTGCTAATAGGTGAATTTCATTGATACACAATGATAGCAGATAAGAATAATGCAGACAAGACAAACAGAATCGATATGTACCAGTCCTAGGGCTGTCAGAGGGAAGGTACATCTGGTCAGTACATAAGCTTCACCTTGAGGTTTTCTCTTGAATGGCAGACATCAGCAGCCTGAAGATTAAGGGCTGATCCATCCTGCCCCCCCGCCAGACCCCTCCACCGTGCTCAGTTGGGGGGCGTGAAACAGGCGGGTGGTGTGCCCTTTGTCCAAGGTGGCCTTGGTTTCCCCTTTTGGGGACACTTTCCTGCTCTGAAATCCCTCCTTTTTTAATCTTTTGTTCCCTCTGACTATCTCTGAGCATTGTTGCTTGGTCTTCCTGTGGTTGTTATACTGTCCACGTTCTGTCCTGTCAGCATATTTGTTTCAACAAACCCATCGCATGCACACCATCTTAATTTGTTTATTTACCAGTCTCTTAATTAGGTCTGTTCCCCCACACCAGGAATTTCAAGGGACTGTGGCCTAATGCTACCTTATCCCACATTACGGAACAGTGTGGTGCATTTCTTCAGTTTCTCAACCTGTGTATGCCCGCTTGTCCATTGGCCTCAGACACAGTGGGCCTTGAAGAAAATGGTCACAAACAGGCTTTTAGAAACCAGTTAACCCTTGCCATCCCCCTGAACCATTGCCCTAATGCCTCAAGGCACCTATCATATTTAGGACATACTGCCATTGAGGTTAATGGTATTATTTTTATTGACTTTAAAAGTACTTAATATTCAGATTTGTTGTTAATAACTAATTTAACCTAAATAAGGTTGATCAAAATACACATCATGCACTTGTTTTCATAAGTTCATATGATTGACAATCACAGCTGATTAATTTCCCTCTCTCACAATGACTTTGAATAATTGCAGCCATTAACCCTAGTCTTCTACATTTTGTTCTGCACTTGACTTACAACATGTACTCACATGTATATATGTATTATGTTTTATCAGTACCATCGAGTTGTTCATGCATAATACATATGCATATGCAAAAGAAGTTGTTCTCCAAATATTCTTTGTAACTACAATATATAGTCATGAAGAAACAGATGTTTTTTCCTGGAGCTTGAATTATATAATTGATGTTAGAAATTATGGGAAGGATAAAGGTGAAATATTTTCCTCGTAACTGGATTATTTTTAATTTACGCAAGTGGAGAAATAATTTGTTATACTTTGCTAAATATTAATAAAGCCTGTAGCAGAGCAGGATTAAGACTGATAAATTGTATTATACAAGTTATCTGCAAGGAATTCCAAAGAAAATGGTTTGCTCATACTTCAAATGTAGTCACTATTTTTTGGGGGCTTGAATTATGGTAGGTGCAGCTCTATATCAGTTCTAAAATATAGTTAGACATGAAATATGTGCTACAGTAAAAATACCAAAAACAGTATGAAAAGGGAAGTGGAAACTCTTTCTAGATAGCCACTAAAACAGAACTGTGTTCTAGTTGTCGGAGTTTTGGGGGAGGCAAAACCCACCATATAATTTCCCCTCTCTCCTCCTATTTTTTCTCTTGATCTCAAGAGGGAAGAGAAAATAGATCTTGCTTTTGACTTTAAAGCTTTATTTTAATTTCAAATAGCCTTTTTTAACACTGTATAAATCGCTAAAACAGCTTCATAGGTCTGGCTTCAAGAGAGCTAGTACTTTCAACGCATTTAAAATCAAGGCCTGGGGCCTTTAAATAGAGGAACCAGCTGTAACAGTTTCTAAAACGCATATGAGGTGAACTGCCATTATAGCATGGTGTTGGAAGCTTCTGAGAGAGAGAGGGAGCACCTAGGTAGCTGCTTTAGCTACTCTGAAATCTAGTTTGCTTTTTTATATTTGATACAATAGCAATCACATTAATAGAATGTGAGGTTCCTTTTCCAACAATGGCTTATAGCACTTCAGAAAAAAGCCCTCTGCTTTGCCTCAGCGTTTCTTTCTCAAGAGAGATCAGAGCACAGACTCTGACTGTATTAATGTTGTCCTTGAATAAAGATCTTGTGGCCTTTTACCCTATTAAAATAAAATACAATTGAAAATGGTCAAATGCAGTTACTGGACACTTTTCTGAGAGACTGGATTAAGATTTCTCAGAGAATAGATTTCTGGCAGGGAAAGAAAATACTAATTTTGTTTCTTCTTTTTTCTTTCTATATGTTCAGATGGAAGACGTCATAGCCCGTATGCAAGATGAGAAAAATGGGATTCCTATTCGTACAGTTAAAAGTTTTCTTTCCAAGATTCCCAGTGTCTTTTCAGGTAAGATTCAAAGTATGTTTTGTATTGCTCAAACCATTTGGCTCTAGCCGGTACAAAGGGGTGTTTATGCAAAAATAAACTATTTAACAAAAGCCTTTTTTTTTTTTTTTTTTAATCCATGAACATATCTGATCTGGAAGAAAATGTGAATCCATTGACAATTTGAATTGTTGGACAATAGGCCAATGTTGAGCATTGTTATGTAGTTTCTTATGTGCTGGAAAGGATTTACACACAGGTTTTTTTTTGTAAAGTGTTCAGTGACTTAAGGCAATGAATACTGGAAGGCAGTATGTTAGTGTAACCGTTGCGTTTCAAATCTGATTATAAAACAAATTTAAATTATGAGTGCAGTAAGTTTGCTTATTTGTCTAGTCCAATATTATCAAGAAAATAACTGCCATATTTGCTGCAGCAAAGGAAGTTGCATTGCTTAGCATGCCATGTGGCACTAATAGTGGAATTCTTTCATTGACTCCCACAGAAAACTACCTTTTGATCAGAGGCATGATGGCTATGAATTCAATCTTAATAGTTCAAGCGCAAAGATGTTTCTTTGTCTTGTTTTGTATGTACTATTTATGCCTTGTGAATATTAATCATAGAATGATTAACATGGTTTCATGGTATCTATGCCCAAGAGAGGCTGAATTCTAAATATCAAAAATCATAGAGAAGTCTGAGATGTTCATGGAAACTTTCATAGCACCTACCAGGTTTATAACTAATCCACATCTATCTTTTATGAGTGCAAATATCCACTTCAATTGAATGTTTTTCTTTTTTAAAATAAAAAAGAAAAACCTTTTAATTCTACCAAATGACCATAGAATTTCTTTTAAGTGTATACCACTGGCAAATCTAACCATAAATAAAGGCATAAATAGTTTTTGTAGTGGAGAAGGTAACCTGATCAAAGAAAATAAACAGTACAAATGTTCCATCTCTCACTTTATAACTTCCGAAATGTCTGTATTTGTGATTAGGACTGCTGAAGACAAAGTTAATTCTCAGCTATGAGAAACAACACAAACTGGCCCCTCATAAATGGAGCTTTATATTTCAGAAACTTGTAGACTGTACAGTTTCCAAAAAGGTTTTATAGTGACTACTTTGTTCTGCTTCTCTTTGACTGTCAAGCCCACAAAGAGTCATGCTTGTAAAAGCATTATTTAAAAAAGTACCTCATTTATATAAACAAACTTCCTATATAGATAACAAGGATTATCATTAAGTCAGTGTTTATTTTTCCTTGCTCTATTTTGTGCATCAAATATAATTTTGGTACCTTTCACTATCTGACGATAAAAATAAAGGACTTTGATTTTTCATGAATTCTGAACATAACTTATTTACCACTGTTCAGAATGTCTCTGTTTTGCAGTATTGTGGGACTACAGATAACTTGAGTACATAACCGCACAAACTAAGTAGATAACTTATAAATAAAATTGTACATATGGCAGTACCCTTCGCTCCATGGAAACCAAACTGCTCAACTTTGCTAAAAGTAATGGGCATTCTTTAACTAATATATTAAGGGTTCCTACCTCTGGAACAGGATATGATGATATGGTTCAGGAGCACAATGATGTTTAGTGACCAGAATATAATAATTATTAGGAAGCTGTGTGTGTCCACTGATTTTATATGGCATGTGTACAGCATGTTTACTGATATACATCTGTTTAGGAATTATCCAGTCAAGTAGATAAAATTTGTTTTTTTAAATATTGTGGAAGTTAATAGATCACTCTCTATAGTTAAAGCTTAATATAGTGTTGCTTGACATGGAAAGGGATGACTGCAGGGCTGTATCATGGATATACAGTTGTTGGTATGGGATCTATATAGATTAGTGTATATTGCAAGCCTTAATCTTTGAACAAGATCCTGAAGTGGGTGTGGGTAGCAGTAACAGAAATAAATGTTGGTTGGTAAGAGTTTTGGTCCGCGTTAAAAGTATGGGCAAATGTTATCTTTTCCCAATGCCTGGCATTGGAAAGGATAATAAAATGAAATGATAACAATATATTTTGTTACTGTAGATAAATCGCCAATTCTATATAGTGCACGCATGCACATACACACCCCACTTAGTCCTTATGAAAAGCCCTAGTCTTCAGTACTAAAACCATGACTGTAATTTTTTTTTTCAAATCAGAATTCTTCATTCAGAATTTCTTATTAGTCATGGATATACTTTGCACAGTTTTCATAGAATCATAAAAGTAGGGTCAGAAGGGACCTTGTAGATCTTCAAGTCTGACCCCCTGCCTAGGCAGGAGGGAAACTGGGCTAAGTGACCCCAGCCAGGTAGGCATCGAGCCGCTTCTTAAAGACCCCCAGGGTAGGAGCCAGCACCACTTCCCTTGGAAGTTGGTTCCAGATCCTAGCCGCCCTGACTGTGAAGTAGTTCCTACAGATGTCTAATCTAAACCTACTCTCCAACAACTTGTGGCCGTTATTCCTTGTTATCCCAGGGGGTACTAGGGGAAACAAGGTCTCCCCCAAACCCTTCTGGTCCCCCCTAGTGAGTTTATAGACAGTCACAAGGTCCCCCCTCAGCCTTCTCTTGTGAAGGCTGAACAGGTTCAGGTCCCGTAGCCTCTCAGTGTAGGGTATGCCCTGCTGTCCCTGGATCATGTGGGTGGCCCTCCTCTGGACCCTCTTAATGTTGTCCACATCCGTCTTGAAGTGGGGTGTCCAGAACTGGACACAGTACTCCAGCTGCGGCCTGACCAGTGTCGCGTAGAGGGGGAGGATCACCTCCTTGGCCCTACTCGAGATGCACCTGTGGATGCACGGTAGGGTCCGGTTAGCCCTGCCGACCGTGACCTCGCATTGTCGGCCCGTGTTCATCTTGGAGTCAATGATGACTCCAAGATCCCTTTCTGCCTCCGTGCTCTCAAGAAGGGAGTTTCCCATCTTATAAGTGTGCTGCCGGTTACTACTGCCCAAGTGCAGCACCCTGCACTTGTCCATATTGAAACGCATCCTGTTTTTGTTAGCCCACCCTTGCAACCTATCCAGGTCTTTCT